TTGCTGAGTGGGTCCTGGACAGGGTGAAAGCTAGTATTTTAACAGCACAGGCTGGTCATTCTGATGTTAGAGTCAGAGACATACGAACGTGGGGCGGCTAAACTGGATGGACTTGGTGGCAGATGCTGACGGTGGTCTACTTTTGTGATCAAAACAGAAGTTCAGGCGAGAAGAGACAGCTCAGTAGTTAAGAGTACCAGCTGCTCTTCCAGGCAACCGGGGTTCAAGTCCCAGCACCTACATCAACGTTTACACCTGTCTTTAACTCCAGCACCAGGTGATCTGATTACCTCTTCTGATCCCTGTGGGCACCAGACAGGAATGGCAACTACAGACTTACACGTAAGTAAAATACTCATATACGTAATAATAGTAGCAACAACAATAAAACTTCGTTCACAAACACAAAGCGCCTGCTGTGGGCCAGGTACTCCGTTAGGTCACAGACCTGAAGACATTACCATCTCACCATCAAGAGTAAGAGACAAAAGATCAACTGTCCATAACAGAATGCTTTCCTAGAAAGAAATGCTATGGAAGAACCAAACAGTAGCAGGCTGTAAGCATCACGGCCCAAGGACAATGCATTAGCCGGGTCCTCGAGGTAGACCAGTACTCATCCTATATCCCAAACAGCAGGAGCTCATGAGAGGAAGTTCACCAGCAGTGAAGGCCCTAGTCCACCCAAGACAAACATCAGAAGTTTGCTGCTACCCAGGCTTGGAATTAGAGAAGGTGTTGCCAGGTCAAAAGGAGAATTCCGAACTTAAAATGGCAAAACATAAATTGGTGCTGTAACCTGTAAGTTTAAGGTTAAACCTACAAACCTAAGGTTTTTTTGTTTTGTTTGTTTTCAAATACAGCTCATGTCTAAAGCCAGCTGTGGTGGTACATGCCTGGAATTCCAGCACTCCAGAGGTTTAGGCAGGAGGATGTCAAGACCAGGGCTAGCCTGGACTGCATGGTAAAACCTCATACTGAAAAACAAAATGAAACAGAGCCTGGTATGGCTGATATCTAACTCCCCTCCTGGCCAAACACACCTCACCACTGAGGGCCTCTCTGGTAGAATTTCAGGTAGAGATCTAGAACCCCACTTTATCTGGACCACACACGAAGCTGAGACCTCAGAGACGTAAGTAAATTCTGCAGCATGGTGAGAGACCACGACGGGCAAAGAGCCAGATCAGGTGTATTCTCAGAAGGGTTCCCTCCCAGACAGGGCACACCTGGAGAGGGAGGATATTGGGAAGAGGCAGGTAGGTACCTCAGCAAGCTGCTATGCTCCTGGAACTACAGTTGACCGGGGCCAGCAGAAAGAGTGAGAGGGGCTCATGAGGAGGAAGGGATATCTTAGATTTTAGTGAGTGTGCTAAGGGTCACTAAGACTACCAAAGTATAGATATGGATGGAGCAGAGTACTTAAGAAAGAGGATGCAAATCTCAGACAGAAATGTCAACTTTGGACTGCTGGTAGTATGGCGGGGATATGAAGCAACACAGGTGAGCAGAACAGGAAGACGCTGGAAAGAAATCAGCTCCGTTTGGGAGTCATCAGGAAAGCACCCAGACTGTGCACCTCCTGGCTCATGGCTGTACGTGTCTGGACCTGAGAAGAGGGCTAAAGGTTACTGACAGACATGTGCAGGAGTGAAATGAGCCACCAAAGAAAAGTGCAGTTGCTATGGGGAGAATTCGGCGCCACCATGAACACTATGCCAGGTCCAGGAGCTGAGAAGTGAGCCACCAGGATCAGACCTCTGCCCTCATAGGCTCACATCCTAGAGAGAGACACCAGCCAATGGCGGAGAGTCTAAAGACAAAGCGTAAGACATCAGGGGCTGTGGGTGCGCACGTGGAGTCACTTGTGCCCTTCTACATCAGTGGTCAGGGAAGGTCTCACTCGGAAGGCGACATAGGAGCAGAAGCTGGAAGGACACAGAGAGCAGCCTACAGACTTGGGAAGGCAGTCCAGATAGCAACAACAACAGCACGGGGAAAGTCCCATGCTTAGGACACTGGCAAAGGAGCAGGTGGCCAGGAGGGAGAGCAGCAGAGCAGAAGAGTGTAGTCGCACAGTTATTCTTCAGTTTCTGCTCTGGGCAAGGGTGGTTACAGATGACTCTGGGATTTGGGGGCCAAGAAACTTTACAGATAGAGATGGCACTAACTGTTAATTGCTCACAACTAAGCTCCAGAGGACATCAGGGGCCAGCTGTGAGGGCAGCCAAAAAGGTGGCCCGGTGCATACAGGATGCAGGATCTGCCTGTGGTGTTCTGTCATCTCCTGTTTCAGCGGGAGCCGAAAGCCTTCCTTGGGCCTGGGTGGAAGCCCTGTGCAGCAGGACAGGCCCAAGGGCTCAGTCCTGTGAGAAGCAGAGGGAAGGAGGTCACCACGCAATGACCAGGAAACGTGCAGGGATACTGGAGGGAGAGGGAGGCAAGAATCAAGCACACAGAGTTCAAATACCCAGCTAAGGGAAAGAGGTCTCTTCATCCTGTGCGCTGACCCATATACTTACATTCTTTGCCACAAAGCCCATTGATTTTCAGACAAATAAGTTTTGTTTTCGTTTTGTTTTGTTTTTGCAGTTGACCACTTAAAATGCAAATAATTTCTGAAGGATTCTCCAATTAGCCTAGTGGGGAAATTTAACTTAGGATGCTGGGCTCCTAATACTGAATTCAGATCAGCTGCTCTTCAGACAGTGATTTGTATGGGGAGGCCAGGGGTCAGCCTCAGCTATCTCTTCTCAGCAATGCTGTTTGTCTTGGTCCTTTCCAGACAGGGTCTCTCACAAGGCTGGAGCATAGGCCAACGGACATACAAGGTGGGTGGCCAGCAGGTGTCAGTGATTACCTGGTGTCTGAGATTTTAAGTATGAGTACTGCATCACTGCGGCTGGCTTTTCCCTAGGGTCCTGGGGAGGGGCGGGGGGGAATGCAGGCGCCCATGTTCCTAACAGTTTACCAACCCAGCTTGCTCCTCTGCCCCATTAGTTGAAATGTATTAAACTCTTACTCCAGGTCAGGGCACCTGCTCGGTACTTTATACACACTACTTACAACGGCCCTTGCAATAAATGCCACATTATGGTCATTTAACAGTGAAGTGCAGCTGGGTGAACCTGGGAAAGTTGCTCCTCCTCCACCTCCTCCTCCTCATCATCATCTAGACAGCTACAAGGTGGGACTGCCTAAGACACAGGTGCCAGGAAGAAGTTCCAGGCAGCAAGGGGCCTTTGGATGCTGTGGAAGGCTGTCCTGCAGGACTCTGGAAGAAATTCACTACTTTCTGCAAATTGCTTTGTGGGGGGGGGGGGGGGAGGATTATTAAAAGTTTAACTTCTAGAACCTGAGGTGGGCATCCCAAGTGTGCCCGGGGGTGGGCACAACCACCTCTAAAAATAAAAAATAAAAACGGCAAGATTCTCAGAGAAGAAAAATAAAGTTGAATAAAAATCACGAGATGATGGATCAGGCACAGCGTTGAAACTAGTTATAATTTCTAAGTTAATACAGCATTTCTATTAAAAGCCTGGACACCACAGAAATAACACATTTCACTTAGTGACTTTTCAGAGGAGGAAAAGTGCAAATCAATATAAGACAGACATAATTTGCACTTTTTTTTTTTCTTCTTAGGGCTTTCCTCGCTCCACGTGGGCGCTCCCACTGAGCTATACCACCAGCCTGCATATTCTCAGGTTTAAGAGATGTCTTTGTAAACATGGAAAGTTTTGGGGCACACAGCACTGATACCTTAGAATAGCCCTAAAATGTGCTGTTCTAAGTAGACTAAACTTTAATCTGCTGAAAGGAGAGTTCTCCCAATCCTGTTTCTGCTGGTCAGCATGTCCACAGTTTGGACCACAGGCCGGAGACACCTTGAGAACAGACGCCAGGTAACAACTCCACAGTTAGAAGACACCTTTGAAAACAAAGACATGATTTCACGCTGCTAATGACTGCCAAAACCCCAAGCCACTCTGTTATGACAGCCAAATTCTGGAAACTCAGAATGAAAGTGAAAATGTTTTGCAAATCTCCTCCACCCCCAACTTCTCTTCCTCCCCAGAAAGCAAACTGGCTTCAGGTGACAATTCCTATAGGAAGGAGCCAATCCACCAGCAAAAATAACTGTTTGACAAAAATCGGAGGCACTGGCGGAAAGCTAAAAAATAAAAGGAGGGGAAAAAAGACATCAGTGTGGTGTATATGACTAAGTATCCGGAAACTGTCACAAACATTTCCTCCTAACTCTTAAACCATGTTAAACACAGTTTTATCAAAATTCCCACACACTTTGGAAACAACTTAAGCTATCACTACGCGCACGGATGACTGGTGCTAAGACGGGGCCAGATATCCACGCATCTCCATGCAACAAAACAAGTTGTTCTACTACCACCCCTAAGGCACAGTTCTAGGTGCCAGGGACTCTGCATGCACCCAGAGTCAGCCCCTGCTCTGCGAATCTCGCTCAGGGCAAACGAGGGAAGGCCTGATAACAAACTGAAAAAAGTTCACACTGGAAGAACGCGGTGGCATTGGGCATTGTGAAGAAAAACAAGGCAGGATGGAGATACAGGACGGTGTGAGACATTTCTATTTTAGACAGGGATGCTGCTGGGGCTTCTCAGAGGCGAGGAGGGCACCTGAGCTGACCCGGCAAAGCTGTCCTGTGCTTACTCCCGACCCCTCGCCAGGGCCGGGGGCGCAGGTGCCTGCAGAGAGGTTCCAGGCGACCCCGCGCACTTCCCTGCATCTGGCTGACTTTTCCGATTGCTGTCACCGCGAAGGTCGCGTCCCGAGGAAGCCCAGCACCCCGGTGATACACGGGGCAGCCTTCCCTGGCCGACCGCGACTCCCTGCCCGGTTGGCTGGACCCTATCGGGGGACGCGCGGAACTCCTGCTGCGCCCGCGCGGGGCCTCCCGGGCAGCGGCGCGCGTGGGGCGAGGACGCGGCCGAGACAAAGCGGCGGGGCGCGGCCCTCACCTGTCCAGCCAGAAGGTCCAGGGCGAGTGCAGGGGGACACCACCCGGTTCCGGCCGCAGCGCCGACAGCGGCAGGCCCAGAGGCTCGCCAGTCTCGGGGGGCGCGGCGGCCGGGGGCAGCGCCATGTTCTCCGCCGGCCAGGCCGCGGACGCGCGGACCCGAGAGCTTACTAGTCTCCCGGCGCCAGCCCCGCCCCGCCCCGCGCCCCGCCCGGGCCGGCCTCGGCCCTGCCCCAGCCCAACAAAGGCCGGCCGGCCGGCCCGCGCCGGGAGCAGGGGACCCTAGGGAGAAGGGCAGTGGAACAGTCACCCGGCTGGTCCCACAGCTGGAGCCAAGGATAGACGGAAGGTCCGGCCAAAGGATCAGTGCGGATGGAGTCTCAGGGTCCGACAGTACGAGGGAGGAAGGAGAGAGATGGATTGACATACCAGCTATCTGAAGGCTGGATGGGAAAGCTGGCAGATGGCTGGAGGAGGGACGGAGGGATGGAAGGGCAGATGGAAGCACAGTTGGATGTGACAGATAGATGGAGAGGGGACCAATGGCCGAACAGATAACAAGGCTCCAATGTTCGAGAGTGCAGAAACAAGGCATTAGGCAGAAGACAGAATCGGGCAACACTAACCGAGCCCATGAAGTTTTCTTTGAAGCTTTGCATGACTAGTGGTGAGAATAAAGTTGCCTAACAGTGTATTATAAGGGACCAGGGTTACCTTCCTTCCGTCCCTGGAGCCACGGTGTGCCCACAGAATGCCCGGCTTCTAACAGAATCCTCAGAGTCAGCCAAAGTTCTCTAGGTCTGCCTCCAAGCATGGCAGGGGTGAGGTGGGGGTCGGGGCGGGGGCGGGGGAGGAGCTGCAATTCTGCAGAGACAGCCTACACTTGTGAAAATCCAGGAAGTCGGTGCAGCCATGAGACTCCTGAGTTCACAGCAAGAGGAACCCTCAGGCAAGCCTCCTCCTAGACCTTGTGACTCCCTTCTTTACAAGAAAGGCAAAGGTCCAGAGGTAGGCTGGATTCCAGACAGCACCTTTCCGACCTCCGAAAGCTGGAGGCGTGGAGTTGCTCTTTTAGTTCATTTTCTACCTGACATTAATTTTGCTTTCTGCTTGAGGGAGAAGAGCTATATAGCTTCATGACAGGTTGTCCTAAACCCAGGACAAGGGTTCTCCCAACAGGCTAGTCTAGGCAAGATAAAAGGACAACGAAAGGGTTTGTGTGCTTTGTCCCCCCTTCTTGGAATGTAACTTCCAGAGTGCAGGCTCTGGAAATGTGACTATGTGAACAAGCCTTCCGCCACTGAGGTACCAGGGTCCATCCGGCCAGATGCCTTCGTTGTTGCTTAATCTTTGGAAAAAGCACACATATGGCTTTGTTAAAGCCAATCTGAGAGCTTTGCCCTATAAGCTTCCATAATAAATAATGTGATGTGGAAGATACTATCTCCCCCCCCACCCAGTCTTATAGACAAGTGACAGAATGGTCAGGTAGGTTAACACCAAGGTCACATGACTGGTACATGGCAAAGCTGGGATCTGAATGGGTATGTCAAGACTCTAGAGTTTAGGATTTCCACTGCCAGGCTCTCCTGCCCATCTGGATGAAAATAAAGGTCCAGAGATTAAAAATAAGTAATAAATAAGAGGCCTCACTTTCTCCCAAGACAATCAATCTGTGTCCCAGAGGAAACTGCTGCTAACAGCTTCTGGAAAAACACACATCTCTGCATACAAACACACATCTCAATTTACAAACTGTATCTCCAGCTCTTTTTATAGAAGAAGCAGCCACATTTAACATCAACGCTGCACTTTCTTTTCTTGTTTGGCATTATGTCTCTGAACATCTTCCTTATCAAGACACACAGATCTACTTCACTCTTCAAAGATATGACCAGGACTCACTGTGAAGAAGCAGCCCCCAATATGTCTGTACTCTCTAGCCATTTTCTTTTATAAGTAAAATTCATCCTGGGCATCTTCATAATTACATTCTTGTCCATCCAGGCTCACTTCAGAGTGAGTTTGGAGGATGAGAACAGCTGCCTGCATTTAAAACTCTGATCCGTGTTGCCAAGTTGTACAAGATAAGCACATCTCCATGCATGGGAGTTATAAATAGCACCTGACTCTGAAGACTCAGACTTACTAAGTGACATTTATGTGTATGAAATTCTAAGGCATGGGTAGAGAGGGTGGCTGCCTTCTAATGATCACAACTAGCCAAGCTGTCGCAGTTTGATTCTTCCTCATACCCGGTAATAACCGCTCAGCCAGAAACAACCAGCTTTCCATTTCTGTCAGCAGTCCCTACAAAATACACAGCCACATAATAAACTCCTTCTAGGACTCAGGATCAGAAAGAGTCTGAAAGTTTTTCTGTACTATATATATCACCCCCTTGCTTTGGCTTTTAAGGCACTAAAATGACATGTATCACTGGACCATAACATGGATATTGATCAATGAAGAAGGCGCTCCTATATTTTTATGCTTATTTCTATTTATATTTGGATGGCCTAACTGCGTGTCAGCATCCTTTACTGTGAAGGCCTGAAATGTATTTGGGAAGTTGGTGCTACATGACGAGTAAAATATAAGCGACCTGAGGTTTAATAAAGAATTCAGGCAACGTGGCGAAGGCAAGAAGACGAGAGTGAGCACTTCTGTCCCCTTCCCACTGAACACATGTTGATTCTCATTATGCTTCAAAATTATACTTCAGTGAAAACAAATTAGGAGCATTTCACTTGAATTCCCCACTTCACAAGTAGATGGCAGGAGCCAGAACCTCTGGGTAGACAGGGCACCTCGTGTTCCCCACAGAGGAACGCACGGCTACAGAGGAAGGCTAGAGAGGAGACTCCAGGTCTAGAGAGGTGAGTTGACTTACCTGAGGCCACTGCTCTAGACCATGACAGAGGCAGAACTAAACGTGGGTCTCTTGAGGTCCAGGCCAAGGTGCTCTCTCATTGCATAACACACAATGCGGATGCCTTGGGGTGGCAGGAGAGAGGAGAAGGTGACCCCACAGCCCCTAGCAACAAAAACAACAGAAAGGACTTGAGGCACTCATAAATAATTAAGCAATTAGCCGCTGCAGTGACTCCCCTCCCTCCAGTATCCAGTCACCAAGGCAACTTGGGCAGGGTGCCTGCTGGTTGCCTGGTAACAGTGTGGTCTGTTCCCCTGACATGCTCCCTAGGCATCAAAGGATTCGAGAGCTGGGAAGAACCTTCGACAGGGATCAGCATTCCAACCCCTTCATCTTCCAAATGAGGAAATGGAGGCCCAGAGAAGCTGGGTAACTTGCCCAAGGTCACACAGCTACTCAGAGGCACAGCCAGGTTCCATTCCCAGTCACCTTCCATTAGTATACCAGGGAAGCCTCAGGAGGACTACAGATGAGAGAGACGCTCTCTCTATGGTTCCTAGAAGAACAAGAGAGTCGAAGCCAGTGAGCAAGCAAGAGAGAGACAGAGACCTTGAGTGCTCATGTGCAATTAGCAGGAGCTGGTAATCCCATCAGCCCAACTTTCATCATCACCATGGCAACATGGGTGAGGCGGGTGCTGGTTGCCTAGTAACAAGTGGTCCTCTCTCTTCCACTCATATCCGGCTCCCTGGGAGGCACAGAAACAGTAGAATGTTGGAGTTGGAAGGGAAGGCAAGGATGCTAAGTCAGTCCCCTCCTTTAAACAATGAATGACGCATGAAAAGACTGTGCAAGTCCTATAGTTCAGGGCAAGATGGTGACATTCCCCTCATTTATACACTGCTATAGCACAGGGAAGCCAACCTACTGTAGAGTCATAACATGGGTGTAAATGTCTGGTGGGTTATTATTATTATTATTATTTTTTTTTTGAGAGGAGACAGTTCCACCGCATGTCTGTATAGTGGGAATGCTGCATAAAAAAAACCCAGCGCAGAGTCCATTCCAGCAGTTACACTTTGAGTCTCTAAAGGCGGAAAGTCGAGTCACATGTGCCAAGGTTCCACATGTGAGCAATGGGCACCCCGGCAGTCCAGATCCCGGAAGCCATCATTAAATGTGAAAATGGACGCACTGCAGGAACGTGCACATGTCACAAAGGAGTTGCCAATGTTCTGTCCAGTGAGTGCTTGCATAGCCACTATGCGAATGCCACCATCTTGAGGTCGCCAGGGAAACAGACAGACAGAAGAAATCTGTGCCACTCTGACCAGGGTGTGCACAAGTATACAGCTAGATCTGTAGTCACATGCCAATTGTTTGTTGGATGGATGAAAGCCCTCCCTGGCAATATGCTGTTTACATTGCTGGGTTCCTTCTCTCAGGCCGAGTAGTTTCCTGTTTACAGCTTTGGGGTGCTATAAATACGCCAGCCTGCCTGTCTTCCACCTAGGAGCGCCAAAGAAAAAGGATGTCTGTGGCCACTAGGTGGCAGACATCAGGCTCGCTAAACACTAGGTGCTAGAAGGCACAGCCTGGGGCACAGACTTGCACAGAGCCTCCGGCAAACCCACGGTTTATAGTTGCTCAGCCCTAAAGCCATAGCTTGGAGGTGTCGGGGTGTAGCTTGGGGAGGTGGACCTGAAACTAGTCTGGGACTCTAGTGGGGTGAGGGGAGACTGTAGTGTGCTTTAACAGCACTTGCTTTGCCTAAGTCTGAACTAGGTTTAACTGCAATCCATGGGCATTAAACTTTCTGAGCCCCATACTCCGCACCCAAGACAAGGAGAAGATAACATGAGATCGTTTGGGTAGGACTGCCCTCTTTTAAGGGCTGCACTCAGTAAAAGCTCAACCAGTGTTACTGACCCAGGTTCTAACAGCCGCTGAGGGTCTGGTTCTGGGCTGCAAATGGAAAGAGAGGTAAAGGAAATTCTACGGAACAAGCATTTGCCCTGTGGAGCCTGGACAAACATTTGCCATGAAGAGTGCAGTCTTTTGGTTACTGAGCGCAGAAAAAGTGGCGCTGAAGCCAGGGCATTCTGAACTCCTTAGTCACCCACTAGCCGGCTATGGGCTTTGTCCTATCTTCCTTCCTTCTCAAGGATGCCACTCACTCCGGCTCCATGGGCAGCTGCTACACCCCCTTAGCCAGACTCCCTACCTTTAACCCCTGTCTGAACAGCTGACACAGCAATCTAGAGCCACGCCTCCAAACACTGATCCCATCCTGCCCTAAAGCT